ATTAAATGCTGGTATTTTCTACTCTGAGTAACTAACTTAAATATCATATGTAATCTATTATACAGTGTTACCTTTATATTACCTTGTTTTGAATTTTTTTCATTGTAAAATAAAAAATTGAGGCCATCCAGATAATTCAGTGGACTGAAGTACTTGCTTAGGTAGAGCGCTGCGGCCAGGGTTCAATCCCCAGCCTGCTGTGTGGGCCCTGCCCCTGAGGCACATTGAGATAGCTATTGAGACTGGGCATGGTGGCACATGCCTGTGATCCCAGCACTTGGGTGGCTAAAAACAGGAGGATCACTATAAGTCCTATCTGTGTAGTGAGACCCTGCAGACCCTGTACTGAATATATGAAAAATAAAATTCAGAAAATAGCAAGAAAAATGTCTGAGAGGAGATATATCAGAAAAAAAAATAATATATATATATATATATATATATATATATATATCCTAGTTCTGTCTGCTGAGAAGTAGAAGTCTTGACACCACAATAGCAGTGAATATGCACAGCAGTCAGATCTTGGTTTCTAAATATCAACCCTTAATGAAACAAATTAGAGCTCTTTGAAGAAATGGCTCATCTCAGGATTGGAAGAAGAACAGTAGAAATGAGCACAGAATATTTTGTGCTACCAGAAAATAAGAAGATGCTCTATTAATAATGGGAACATAATAAGACATTGTGGCTACTGCCTGTAATCCTAGCTCTTGGGAAGCCTGGACTGCAGAGCAAGTTCAAGGTCAGCCTAGGCTACATACTGAGACCCTATCTCAAAAATGTTGAAAATAAATGATGGAAACATATTGATGTATGTTGAAGACAATGGAAGGGATCTCTCCTAGACAAATCTGGAATAATTTCATCAAAAACCCTAAAATGTATATAGTTAATAATAACCAATAAAATATATATTCATTAACTCTCTACTGTTATAAGCAAGTGAATATATATAAATAATTAAAAAATAATATTGGAAAAGTTGTATAGTAAAATTTAATTAAGCAGTTAATGTAGAATATTTATAAAAATTAAACACTGCCAGGGAGGGACCTCAGTGAAATAAGTGCTTGCCTGGCAAGCACTAGGTCCTGAGTTTGACCCTGGTACCACAAAAAAAAAAAGAATTAAAACACCATTTGGCAAATGTTACTATACTAATTTCAAACTAGAATCAATAGATGCCAAAATTACTGAGCAAAACCATGATGAGAAATAGATTGCTTACACTATCTCAAAATATTTCTCTTTAGTCTTAAAACACCTGCTCATCCTATAAAGACAAAAGTAAGAAATAATAACTTTATAGCAAACAAATGTTGCAGACATTATCATAACCAAATTATCCAAGTTAACTCTAGGTAAAGAGTTTTGTGTCTTGCACATACAGAAATTGGCAGCCAAGTTAAAAAAAGAAAACAAGAAAAAAATATATATACACTCTTACACAGTACCAGAACAGATACATATCAATACATAAGTGGATGAACAAAACTAAAGATACACAGGTATTTGAGTGAACAAAACCAGGTATGACAGAATAAGTAAACTGGTAAAAATACAAAAATAAATTGAGCATTTCAGGTAAATTGTGGCATTATACCCACATACCCTGTTTTTTCACAGTAACATGTTCCTGAAAAGTTCAACATAAAGGAAAATATTTTACAAGCTCAGTGATTAAAAGAATCATAAGGCAAATCTTTCTCAAAATACCTGCCTTTTCCATTAGACTTGGGATTGAACCCAGGGCCTTTGCACTGAGCTACATCCACAGACCTATTTTATTTGGAGAAAGGTTCTCCCTTAATCACTAAGTTGCCCAGGCTGGTCTCAAACTTGCATCCTCCTATCTCAGCTTCGCAGAGTGCTGTGATTACAGGGAGTGTCATCATGCCCTGCATATTTAACTTTTTATGTATTGTGATTTCATAAAATCATACAATCTGCAGCAGCAACTATTTAGATTCTTTTAAGGTTACTTCATTCTAAAAAGACACAGATTCAGAGATAAAATTCCGATCTTTTGAAGTCCAAAGGTCTTTCTGCTTCTCCTAAAGTTGACAAGAAATATAACCCTCATTATTTCTATTGCATCTTCTGTGTTAAAAACAATAGAAGCAGTGATCCCCACAGTGAACCTTAGATAAATCTCTATAGATTAAATAAAAAGGAGGCTCTGTAGGACAGTTGGTAAAGGCAAGGAAACCTGGAATCAAACTGTCAGACTTGCCACTACCCAGCTCTATAACTTATTGCCAATGTATTATGAAACATCCATGATTTTTAGTTTTCTCATTTACGAAGTAAGAATAACAGTATGCAGCTCATAAATTTGTTATGAACACTGGGAAGAGCAACTGACTAGAATGCATGAGATGCTGGATTACCCCCATATCACACACACACACACACACACACACACACACACACACACTCACAAATATAACAATATACACTGCTATACTAGCAGCACAGTGTCAGGCACATATTAAGCAAAATAGAAACTATAATGATAATAAAGACAATGATGACAAATTCTCCCATTGGAGCAATATAATAATAGAAGAAAAATTACTTCATAGACGCAAACTACAACCTTGTCCTTGATGAATTCTTGCCACTGGTCTCAAGGCACATTTATATTAGCCTAAACTGTCTACCCTACTGAATAAAAAACAATTGACTAATATAGGTTTAGAAGTAGTATAATTTTACAGAATATCCATATATCTAAGTACATATCCTTAATGTCAATGCATCAGTACAAGTATAATTACCTTTATGTGAAAAGTCCATTTCAATCACTAAGAATGACTTTTAACCAACAGCTGCTAAAATCTTGTATTGAAATTTCAGTTTAAAGGGTTGTTTTATTCCAACTACTTTACCTAAAAAACACTTTACCTAAAAAAAAATTTCCTACATAGTTGTGCTATCCAAATTTGGACGGGCTCAAGATAAAGAAATCACATAATCATGGAAAAGAAAAGCAATGCACCTCTTGACATAAAAGCCTCCATACTAGACTACTTCAGTCAACTTTGAGCCCCACTATCAGCCAGTTTTAGCCTGGATATGGCCAGCAATATCCCTGGCACTGTATGGAGACGGGATACCATTCATATTTTTGAGATAATTAAAACATTCATCTTAACTACTGACGTGTGAAGCAAGAAAAGTAAATTCTTAGTTTTAACAGAGGCATTATATATTTTGAAACAAAAATGGACTTAGTGTCCTTTAAAATTATATAAGAAGAAAAACAGAAAAAATGTAATTTACTGCATGAACATTCTATTGTTACAGTTAGAATCCAAGAAATTAAGCTTGCTCCTAAATTTTGCCAGTCATTTAACATAACATAAATTGACTTTTTATTAATTGGTGTGTACTGCTATTATAACCACCTGTATAGCATATAACTGTAGGACATTTATTAACAGGGAGATCAAGAGAGAAAAATATTTAATGAAATATTCACAAAATTGCTTCCCCTTGGCCAAATGCTAGAGGAGTAGGCACCAAGATATTCTCAAAATTAACTATTTTTCAAAAGCATAATTTTTTTTAATCCAACAAACATGTTGAATTGACTGGCTAAACCTTAATCCATTAAAGATGTTGGGCATAAAAAAAAGCTCTTGTAAATAATTTATCTACCTGGATGAAGAAAAATTATGCAACGCATAATTTAAAATATCAGATATGCAAAGTTTTTCAGCACGTTTGCTATGATCATGTTGTGATTTACGGTGTCATGAAAGTTTGCATGCCTTGAGGACACACTTTTGAAGGATAGAAAGAAAGCAGTATGATCTGAGATGTGCTAAGTACTAGAGGGAAACTACGCTAACATAAAAGTGGACCTAGTTAAGCTATAACATAGCAGCTGCACATAACAAATTGAGTCACCCAACCATGTGAAGGCCTAAACCATAATCTCATATTAAAATATTTTTAAACCACCCTTTATGATCTCTCAAGTACAATATTTAAATAATTTGTCATACTTATTCTTTAGAGGTTCAGTGAAATTAAGGATGATAGGCTTCAGGCTAGTGAATATTCACTGTGACAAAGCTACTCATTCCCTTATATCTGCCTCTCATCATTAGAAGGACTGAGGGGATGAGGATGCCCGGGTTCCCTTTAAAAGATACACTGACACTTGAAAACCAGATTCTTAAAACCAAGTGGAACTTATCACTCTGTCATTTCACATGCACGTTCTCCTAGGTGGGCCTTTTAACTTAGAATGCCCATTCTCCTTTGAAAACCACTCAATTATTTTCTTTTAATTAGGTGAAGTGCTTAGTTGGTAAACAGGTGATGGGCAAATTCTAGGTTTACTCTGGTTCCTTTGTGAACTGAAAGAAAAAACAAAAGCCCATGACTTAAAAAAAAAACCGCAGCCATCTGTCTTTACCTCATTTTTCCTGGCCTGTTACCTTAGTATTTGCATAACAAGACTGTCAGAAGGAGGAAAGCAGGTCAGTAGCTAGACTGACTTAGCATGGGGATAGATTCATATTGCTTAAGGAATAAGTGAAGTACTTCATTTAGGAGCTTAACACTTTGATAGAAGCAGGATCTTAGAACAGCCAAAATATTAAACTATAGGCAAAGTTGAAAGAGTGTGTGGGCTGCGCACAGCTAGTGAGAAGGTTAGGCAGGGAAACACCGGAGGGCGGAGGGAAAAAAACTTTTAAATACTCACCAGAGCCTAGTGCGAAATTAATGAGTCCGGCACCCTGGCTCTGTTCCTGCCCCAGAAGAGCTAGGTTTAGGGAAGCAAGCAGCCCTATTTTTAAACATGTAAAACTCTCCCTTGCGCTTCAGAGGGCTTCCCTCGCCAATGTCGCAAATAATGTTTATTCCTAAATAAGTGAAAGCAAATTTAATTTCTCTGGCTAAGACCAAGGAGAAAGAGAAGTAAAAGGACAAGAAGTGATTTGAGCGCCAGAGTGCGGTGATGGGGGCTGGGGAGGACTTACCGCAGCCTCTGCGGGCTGCCCCCAAAGAGTCGGGGTCAGTAAGAACAAGCCGGCAGCCAGGCTGACTCCACGCAGTTTCATTCTTCCCCGTCTCCTGCAGCGCCTTCAGCACCGGCATGAAATCCCTGGCTGACTCTGACCGATTGACATAATCTTGAAGATTTCCTTAGAGAAAGCTTGAGCCAGAGTGGGTCAGCGGGTGTTCCAATTGTGCCAGTCGGCTTGGGTGAAGAAAAGGAAGCTTTTTTAAGAGCAGAAAAGAGAAAAATAAAAATAAGAAAAATTAGTTGTGCTCCCTTTTCCCCGCCCCTCCCCAAAGACCGTCTCTCTGGAGCACCTTTCCCCTCTGTTCAGACTTGCAAACTTTTTCCTCACTCAGGTCCTACACATCTACTTTCCTCCCTCTCATCCACCCCCCTAGCACTGACCCCTCCCCCCTGCACAGGGGAATTTGGGTATCACTCCGCCACAGTTTTAGACTGCACAGGCAGGCAACCTGCGAGGGAGTGACGCTCAGTTATTTGGAGGAGGGAAACTTCTAGATTAGTGGACTGAATATCATGAGTCCAACCAGGAAGCGTTTCTTTTCGTTCATTTGGACCTTATGTTGACTCTGCTCTCTCAGGGCCAGTCCCACTGTCCTTCCTTTGAGCATCAAGCCAATTACAAATAGACCTGAGTTGGGACTACTTTTTTAAGCGGATGAGTCACAGAACAGATACTGCTCTTTATTGTTAATAATTAGAAACAAATTTTGGTGGCTGCTCTCTGGGTCTTCTCTGTCTTTGAAATGCTCACTGGGAAAAGTATACATGGGCATAAGATGTGAAAATACTGGAAATGTATACTTATAAACAAAGACAAAAATAAAAATATGTGCGAGAGAATGTGTGTGATAAATACATAAGATTTGGGGGTATTCTCTAAATTAGTAATTATTATACGGTTGAATGTTATGTGTGTAATACAATCACATCTTTTTATCCGGATACATTGAGTGTCATAATATTTATCTCCTATATTGAGCTAAGATTAAATGTATTAAGTGTTGAGGTTGTGTTTCAAAAGGATTTACAGCAGAGAATTTAATAAACTTAGTGCAGCTTTTTTCACACAAATATAATACTTACTTGGAAATATGTTTATGCAGTTGATAGAAATTGAATATAACATTACTTGGACAATTCTGATAAATGTTTTTAAACCTGCAAATGGCCAAAGAACTATTTATGTAGACTCTGGAGGGTCTTTGGGGAATTTGCTGAAGAACTGTTTGAAATACTTCTCTTATCTCAGTCCCTAGAGCTAACCACTTTAGAGAAGACTTTCGTAATTTGGCTCTGTTTTATGTATCCCATTCATCCTTAGGTTCTATTGACCATAAAGTAGATTTACAACTACAGAAACCCCTTTCCTATCCTTCCCAAGTGCTTAGTGTACAACCAATTACTGTATGCATTTGGATCTATGTGTGGGGGCACTTTGGGGCCTGTCTATGTAGAAGTACTGTGCTTACGTTTGTGTAATTTAACAGTAGTTTATGGAAGTGTATGATGTACAGTCTTCATGTACTGTTCTCTAAAGACTTATTCCTGAAGTTGTGGAGACATTTGGGAATGTTTTATGTAGAGGTGGCTGAAAGTGAGAAAGACAACCAGCTGCCCAGGGGGGATGATTGACAGCCTATGGCCCCGCCCCTTCCCCCTCCATTCCTTTCTCTCTCCAGGGGCCGGGAACTATCTCTTGAGTGCTGCAAGTTGTTTGGGGCACTGCTGAGCATTTCCCTGTGGGGCAGTTCTTATCTACAAACTGACTTTTTAGTTGCTCCTAAACTGCACCTCTTCGCTCCCTTATCCCGTCCTGAGTAAGAAAGCAGCCGCATAACATCAGCGAGCCCCGATGAGCAAGCGCCGCGGAGCTGCTTAGACCCTCCCAGGACCCAGCTTCAGAGAAGCGGCAAGCATGTACCCTGGGTGAGCTGTTGCTGCCCAGACCTCCAGCTCTCCTCCTTTTCCTACTTTGGGCTACTTTGCAGGCCGGGACTATATCTGTACTTCTGTCACTGCAAAAAAAGCGGGAGTAGGCATCAAAAGGGTTTGGGTGGCTGCGGGCAGGCATGGGACCCTGAAGCCCAACAGAGCCCCTAATACTCACACTCCTTCTCGCTTCAGGTTGTGGCTACTCTTGGTTTCCTTGTGCCTGACGGAGGAGCTGGCAGAAGCGGTGAGTCTTCTGACCCCTTTCCCTGCTGCTTCATCGGACACTGCTCTCCCTGCGTCCCTGCCTCGTGTGTGTGTGTGTGTGTGTGTGTGTGTGTGTGTGTGTGTGTGTAAGGGACTTACAGAAAGTTACACCACCACAACGAAGTGCAGTTCACACCACTTTCCTTTCTAATGGGAGTTAGTAGTGTTATTGGGGAGGGATAGCAAGCATGTTAGTCTAATGACTTTGGAACTCAGCCATCTTCTTGTCCTAAAACTTTATAACAGGTTGGGAACATAAAAGTAGAAGCTACAAGCTATACACATTTCTGAGTTTATTTTGGATAACATAAGATGACTGGTGTCTGATGCCTTCCTTTGCATTGATATGCAAAGCAAAAGAAATTTAATTTTCTTTGCTCTCCAAGCCCATGAATTGGGTACACAACCATGAATGTTAGAGAACAGCACCAAACAGTGGGACTTAAAATGCTGCAAACATTATGGGAATTAAACTTAGTTGTCTACCTGGAAACTCTTTGACAGTATCAGAAACTGAGTCATACCACTAGGTGATGTTCACTTTCTACTTGATATTTTCTTTTTCACATTTTCTCTATCATCAGAAAGTGAACGTGTTTAGGACAGACAAAAAAAATCTAAAAGTTCACATTTAATAAGCTGTTTAGATATCATCGATCAAATCATCTAGAGACTGTAGGCCCAATACTGTCTTTATGTATGTGTTTGAAAAGGTTTAATGAATCCAGAAAATAGTGAAACCTCCAATAAAATTTGTAGGATAATTTCACAAAGGTACAGCGACCCAAATAATCAGATATGCTGCAGTTTTCCAGTTGCATTGGGTACATGCTGGCACAGACAAAGTTAACTGTTGAGTTCAACTATTTCATTGCTGTATTAAAAAAAAAACCTCTTACTAACAGCTGAAGTCATTTACTGTGTAAAAACTCAATAATTTATTTTCCAAATGTTTAACTTGTGAGGTTTGGTAATTTGAAACAGTTTTCTCTATTTTTCAATATTTGAAAATATAATTTTCAGAACGACACTTAATTTAATTTAATAAAATCACCCAATACATATATGAAAAATAGAGTCCTATACCTCGATATATGATATCTTTAAGAAAATATCAAAATAAGGTGGAATGATTACACTTGTGAAGAAATATGTCAAAAAACTCGGAATTCTACAATTTTGAGACATTTTAGTTCAGTATATCATCTCTTAAGTATATTGTAGATTTTGAAAGTAGAAATAATAATGTAAGGTCCTATGTTCTTTTCTATGTGATTCTTCCAGTATACTACTTCTGTATTATCTTGAGGCTCAATAATACATTTCCTGAAAGTGCTAGGATTTGATTAGCTAACAGTTTGTTCCAGAATTTTGCCACTTGTAAATATGTCTTGCTTGGGCAAAATATGTCTTTCAGCAAAATCTTTATATTTTGACTCTGTCTTATTCATTGCACTTTTGGGAAAAGCAGCATAGATCTTTCTAGATAGCTAAAGACTTCTTGGATACTGCATCCCTTCATATGGTGGAGGATTATGGTTTCAGATTTTCCAGGTATTATAAAATGAATCTCCCAAATCAAGCACTGCGTTGATGTGTAGGCTCTAGACTTTGTGTCATTAGTATCACCTGCTCTGTCAGTGTGAATGACTATGAGAAGACTAAAAGAAACCTTGACATCCAATCACAATAGTTTATATTCTCCCTTAAGTCCACAACTACTTCCTTCATTTCTGGTTAATTTCATACAATATCTGCTTGCTCTAAGGGTTTTAATTTTTTTTTTTAGTATTTAAGAAAATGGCAGAGAAAGTCAGGTGTGACCAAAGATTATATTCTTGAAAGGAAGGTTTGTTTTTTCTTTTACACCTTTTGAACTGGACTTTCATCCAGATTAGTTGGCTCTCTTCTTCTACTTGCAGCTCCCAGTTTATCCTACAAAGTGTTTCTCATGTTTCAGACAGTTATAATATATTTGAATTCTCCATACTTTGAGTGATATTAATTAAAATAGCTATAATAAATAGTCAGGGACTCTTTAGTATTTCATTATGAGAAACCATTTGTAGATAGGGTTGTTTAGATGTTTTTGAGCCTTCTTTAAGAATTTACACAACAGTCCTATATAAAGGAACAGAAATGCTAAATGTTAAATTCAAGATATGACAATTCCACTAAATTCCTTTTAAAGGAGTGATTATGCTCATTCAAGTGAAAGATCTGTACAATTTATCTGAATAATATAGAGCATAGGGTTTCAGGATATCCCACATTATTTTTAGTTAAGTGCGTAACTGCCCAAAAAGTCAGGGTCCTCATGTTTTCTTCCCACTTGTCCCTATGCAAATGTACTTTCATAAAAGGCTCTAATAAAAGCAAGCATACTTCAAGTAAAAATCTTGGTCAGAGATTCATATGAGTGGGGAGGAGGGAAAAGGGAGAAAATATGTCTCTTACTCTCTTTTGCAGAAAGCATAGGTAAAATGTCTTTAGCCATATGTAAGCCAAAAGATAACAAAATACCAACTTCTTTCCCTAATGTTGTAACTTGTCCAGGTTGGTCTTTTCCACTGTGAGTTTCCCAGTCATTATAGCAGTTGTCAAAGTTTAAATATTATATTAAAGGGGTACAGAGATGTAAAAATATCCCTTCTTACCTTAAAGATCAAGAGGAATACTTTCATGCTTGGGCCTGTGTCTCTATGAATTGTTGAAGTGGTCTTCTACTTATCTGCTAATAAATATCTTATATCAGAAAACCATAAGTAATTAGAACAAATAGCATATGTATTTATAAGTATATAAGCATAGAATATCTATGAGATGACCAAGGATACTGGTGCAGATATATTAGTACACCATCAAGAAAATCATCAAATGAATATGTATATAGGTAATACATGGAAAGAATATTTTATTAATACACCAAGTATGAATATTTTAAGAATAAAGAGTAATTTCATACATTACTAAAGAAATATGTCACTATATCAAATATTTTAGGTATTTTGATAAATGTAATTCAATATAACTGGTTTCCATTGTAATCCCATGATTTTTTGTATGCATTTAAGAAATTTATTTTTGCAATCCTGGGGATCAAATCCAGGACTTCACACATGCCTAACCATACATTCAACCACAAAGCTACCTGCTCAACCCAAAAAATATT